TACGTACTTAGGTAAAGTTAAAAAAGTTAAAACGACCTAAACCGTAAACGTAATAGGTTTCGGTTTTCGTAAAGTAAAACTTCCTAACTAAAATTTGTTAAATTAAAAGTTCACGGCGGGCGACATTAGTTTCCCCGTTCCCCCCCCCCCATTTAACCTATACCCATTTTTTTTAATAAGTTTTAACTTGTACTCACTTTTTAAACAACTTCAGCCCCCTTTCTCCTCCTCCTTCTCCTCCTTCGTTTTCTTCTTCTTCTTTCTTCTGCTGATGTTGGTGCTGCTATGAAACTTCAGTTCATGGGATGATTGCCATAAGTATGTTTATCAGATTATTTAAAAATTATAAATAATTACGTAAGTTAGTAGACAATAATTTGTGAATATTTCCACGTACGGGAAGTTTAAGGTCACACTTAGTGATTCTTTTCATGATAATTATGTTCTTTTCACGTTTATTGTTTCCAAATTTTATGATTTAGATACTGTTGGCAATCTGATTATTTTATAATAGTAATACACTATGAAAGAATAAGGTGATTATTTATCTAGTATGTTAGAAAGCTTTTTAAAAAAACTTCAGCTTATATAGTGTTGAAGTTTTTACAAATGAACTAAATAACTTCGGCATCTTTATGACAAAACTAATGAATCCAGGACAAAAAACTTTAGCTTATTTGGTGCTGAAGTTTTTACAAATGAACTAAATAACTTCAGCATCTTCTGCTGAAGTTTTTGAAAAAGCTTTATGACAAAACTAATGAATCCAGGACAAAAAAACTTCAGCTTATTTAGTGCTGAAATTTTTACAAATGAACTAAAGAACTTCAACATCTTCTGCTGAAGTTTTTGAAAAAGCTTAATGACAAAACTAATGAATCCAGGACAAAAAAACTTCAGCTTATTTAGTGCCGAAGTTTTTACAAATGAACTAAATAACTTCAACATCACAAAACTTCAGCTAATAGAATGCTTAAGTTCAACAATTACAAATAAAAACTTCAGCAAATAGAGAACAAAACTTCAGCACTAGAACAAAAACTTCAGCACACTTGGTTCAGCAATTTTTGCTACTTTAGGCCCGTCTACTAGAATGCTGAAGTTTGCGTGATTGCCTTTGCTACTTCGGGCCCGTATGCTGAAGTTAAGCGAAAAAGTGGGTACGCTTGCAATTTTTTTTGCAAAGCGGGTACAAGTTAAAACGTAACCCAAAAAGCGGGTATAGATGCAAATGCCCCAAAATTATTTGTGTAACAATCCCATACAAAAATCCAATTTTTCAAGTTTTATGACATAGGATCGGCCCAAAACAGTAGGCCCAAAAAGATAGCAACTTCTAGCAGCCCATGCTGTCCAAGTGAAACTTAAAACCCTAATCCCCTTCAACTTCGTCTCTTATATTTTTTCCGCTGCAAGCATAAGATTGCTCACTTGCCGCACTCGAGTCGTCTCTGCTCCAAATCTTCAAGTAAGTTCCTCTACAAGGGTAAAGGAATTTCGCACATCTTTCTTTGTATGTCGTTTGATCACAATGTTGAATGCTTAGTGAATATATTCTAGTTACATGCTTCATCTGATTGTGGATCTAATTATTTCAGTTTACATTTATTTTTTCTTAATCATGTTTAGGTTAAAAGACTGTTTGTTGTTCCTAAAGCAAGAGAAAATAGTTAATTTTAGAAAATGAGAATGTATGTTTGTTTGTGTTGTGTGTTCATGATATTCTATGTGTGCCTATTTCTTATTTTGTTTAGTCTAAAACTGAAGGCTTGGGTATATGATATAATTAAACGAACCCCTTTAGGGTTTTTTGGTTTATTGAGCTTAACACTTAGATTTTTTAATTTGAAGACGATAGAAGGAGGTTAGTTGATTAGCTATTGTCTTCTTATGTGGGAGCACTCAACATCCTGTTACTGATATTGTTAAATGATGCCTTTAGTATTAAAAACTTTAGTATAGAACAGTTAAATCAACTGGTTGTGTGGTACAATTTGGTCTGGAGTATTGTGTGCATTGTGAATATGTTGGGCTCTGGATACAAAAAAAATGTATAAACTCTGGAGCTAGTGCACGTATCTTGTTTATTAAGGTTTGCATGACCTTGATTATTTTATGTAGATCTGAGTAGTAGAAATGCTTTGTCATTAGGCTGATAAAAATAAGATGCTGTGTCTTGTAAAGGGAAATACTCATCTATCTTCCAGAAATTCAACGAGTTTATCTAGGATTTGGTAAAACTCATGATAGGAGATTTCGAGTTTGACCTTTTCTTTTTATATTTCTGTTCTTGTTTTTGTTGATTTTTATGAATAAACCATCCATGTCTTGCTTTGTTTTGGAAATGGCAAGTGTTCAATTGATATTTTGACCAAGAAGGTGCTGACAAAAGTATTTACAGGTCACAAACCAGAAAGTATGTCACTTCTATTCTTACAGGGAATCTATTAGCTTCATCACTTCTTCAGTATCACTAACAAAGTTTTGTTTACACTAAAAATAAAAAAAGTAAACCATCCATTCTTGCTGTTTCATGATTATGCTTGACTTTTTTCTTATATACAGTTTTTTTTAATATATGCTTCAAAGATAGAGATTGGGCAAGTGAGAGATTTAGGCAGTTCTAGATTTGAATACACTCTTAATTGCTTTTAAAGGCAATAATTTACAAGTATAAGTAGTATTGGGATTATTTACTCTTGGATAGAGTGCCTGGTCACAGAGGATTCCTTTAGTTGATCCCAACATTGTTTGAAATTGAGCGGTTGATTGATATGCTTGACTGGTCTTATTTGGTACGTTGAGATTAATTGATCCACAACGATCTGATATAATATCTAGATTCTTTTGATGAACTGTGTCAGTAGATATTCTTATTTCATATTACAGGGTTTGTGCTAAGTAGCAGCTGCAAGGATGGGTCGTGTTCGCACCAAGACTGTGAAGAAGTCATCTAGACAGGTAATTGAGAAGTACTACTCAAAAATGACCTTGGATTTCCACACCAACAAGAAGATCTTGGAGGAAGTTGCCATAATTCCTTCAAAGCGTCTCCGCAACAAGATTGCTGGGTTCTCCACCCACCTTATGAAGCGCATTCAGAAGGGACCTGTTAGAGGCATCTCCCTGAAATTGCAAGAGGAGGAGCGTGAGAGGCGTATGGACTTTGTTCCCGATGAGTCTGCCATTAAGACTGATTTGATTGAGGTCGACAAGGAGACCCTTGACATGCTTTCAGCTCTTGGCATGTCTGACCTTCCTGGTGTTGTCAAGCAGGCTGCAGAACCACAGGCAGTGGCAGCCCTCCCAACCTACGGTCGTGGTGCTGGTGGTTTTGGCGGCAGGAAATACTAAGAACAGATTTTAAGACATCATGAACAAATCTAAGCCGAAACTTTTTGGTAGGTTTCAATCTCAAAAAAAAAACTGAAACTTTTGGTAGATTACATGTGTTAGCTCTCCCTATTTTGTTCAAGGATTATTTGAAGCCAAGCTCATTTTGTTTATGTTTTGAGAGATGATAAACTCACTGTTCTTGAATATTGGTTCTAAATGCATGTGATTTATTTTCCTTAATTACATTTGGGGATTGTTACATGGTCCAACGTCATTCTTATATTTATTTGATCCACTGTTATGTCTATGTTTCAGAAGTGGTCGTTGGTCATCCCTTCCCTTCATAATTTTTGTTTAGGATGGAATTAAGTTGTACGGCTTACAATTGGAGATCTGAAATCATTGACTTACAGTGAGCTTATTTGCTCTTTATAGCATGCATAGGAAATTTCAGATGCTCTCAGCATTTCTTCATTGTATTTGCTCTTTATAGCACACGTAGGAAATTTCAGGTGTGTTTTCAGCACTTCTTCCAATGATATAGAGGGTGTTTGGATTGGCTTATTTTTAAGTGATTATTGGCTTTTAAGTACTTTTTTAGTTTGTGTGGTGTTTGGTAATGATAAAAAGTGCTTAAAAGCACTTACATTTTGGCGTAAAAAGTACAAAATAAGCCAAAAGTTGGATATTACCAACTTATGACTTTTGGCTTTTAGCTTAAAAGTTAGTTTTTATAAGCCAATTCAAACACCCTCGTAGTATTATCCCAAGCTAGTTGTTGCTCGTGCTCTCATCCAATGTATCTCCTAATACTGAATGGTTTTTTGCAATGAAAATATTGTGTGAATTATTGAATTATCACTATGAAAGCATAAGAAAAGAAAGAAGAAAAATATTGAAAAATTCTTCTTACAA